AAAGTGATTATTCGATAAGGACACTTTTGAAAAAAAAGTGATTACACACTAAAATACTAAAAATGTTTTATGTTTTTTAACATTTAATCTCTTAAAAAAATGGAGTAGTATATTATTGTCCTTAAAATTTAAGGATTGTGCTTTAATTCAATAAAAAAAGGGAAACTCGTCCAAGAATTTATTTGTTAAGAAGGACTTGAGATATTGGATTCTTTGCTCACATTAAATGGAAGCAAGAAAAGACTAAAATGCCTTTGCCAAAATGCTCTCCCTCTCCGTCCTCTCTAGCTCCCGTGCGATCATTCTGGTTCTGTGGTCTTGACAACAACGATGAGTAAGGGGTGTGATTCCAATAGCAACGACAACAAAGGATCTCAAAACATTGTCAACGACATAGAAGTACACCACCAATCTTATGGCAACAACGGACAATTCACCCACCCCTCCCTCTTATCTCATTGGTTTTTTACTTGGATTGTGCTCCTTGCATTATGTTGTTTGCAGTTGTTGCCTACTTCATTCTTCTCAGTTAGCTACTTTGGTGAAGAAGGCGGTCAACTACCTCTATAATCGGAGAATTGGAGGATGACTTAGGGAAAGGGTGGGTCATTACCTCTATAATGGGCTCTTGTAGTTGTCATCTTCAATATCCTTGGCACTTTGTGAGCAAAGGTTTGCTTTTTTACCCCTCGATACCTTTAATTATCTTTTAAGTTAGAATTTTATGTTTAATGATTTTGAGTAAATTAATTATGAAAATTGTTGGATTTAGATCCTTGTTTGTTTTGAAGATTGGGGTACTTGTGAAAGTTCATCAATTTTCATTGTTCTATTACTCTTTGACTTCTATTTAAAATTTTGCATTGAAATATATCTATTCTGATATGTTTAAGCTTAAATCTTTAGTTATAACAAATCCTCTAGCTTAGAGTCACATAAGGGGTTTCCTAGTGTTTCTTCCTTTTTGTACTTCCAGCATGATGGATTAGTTTGCTTTGCTTTGTCTTCATTAGATAGAATATTGAAGTTCTCCTTACATGACATGCTATGCTATCACATTTTTGCTTTTTCATTGTAAGTTCTTCGACTTGTTTTACAATATCAAGTTTGCAGTCAAAGGGTGAAAAATTTAAAGACTTGCTTGCCCTTTTTATATATGCTTCTAAATTAAATTACATATTGGATACAAGCAAGATATTTTAAATCTATACATGTGTGTATACAAGCAAGATGCAATCAAAATGAGTATATAACTATTATTTTAAATTTTTCATAATTTACTAAGATTGTAAGCTAGGTATGACTTTAACTTTAACAATAAATTTTCTCAAGCTAGTTATCTCCAGCTTGAGATATAAACTAGCTTGATCAATTTCAATTTTGTCATTCATCATAGCTCTCTTTATAATATTTCCAATGCATTTGGCATGACAGGACTTGGAGAAGATAGAAGCATTGCAAATTGTAAAGATTTAAGAGACAAGAATAAAGTGGTAGAAGAAGGTAGCAGTATTGGAGAAGAAGGAGATTAGGATGAATAGGTTAGGAGTATTGTTATGATGGATCTTTTGCAAATATTCATGTCCATGAAATTGTTTTTATTTGTAAAGCATACATGATTATGTGTATGCACATTTAAGGATATCGAATTTCACCTTTTGTAACTCTTATTTACTTGCATATTCAATTTCCTGCTTCAGGTGTTATTTTGCTTATAAGTAAATATTTGTTGGTATTCAATTATTTTGCTGCATGGAATGCAAAGTAGATTTATTTTAAACTCAATGAAAGTGTAAAACATTAACCATGCATTATGTTAATGTGAAGGAATAAAATTGTTTGGTATATGAGTTATTTAGAGATTTTCTTTCATTTCTAGCACTTAGTTTTTAGAATATCAAAACATATTTTCTTGAAAAATGATCAAATTTTTAGAATATGCATTTGCTTTTTCAAAATATCTTTTGTTTTTTTCATGAAAAATGAGTAAATTTTTAAAATATCCATATTCATTTTCAAAATATTAATTTGCATTTTTGGAATATTTATATGCATTTTTATAATATTCATTTGCGTTTTTGGAATATGCATTTGTGATATCCTAAAAACACAATATTGATGCCATATTCAAACCCTAAATTCTAATCCATATTTGAATATGCATTTTAGATATTCTAAAACTGTAATTTTTCTTCTATTTATTCGAATAATCATTTTGAATATTCAAATATCACTTTAAGAAATTACAAATAGGCTTTTATTTATTTGAATATGCAAAAGTGTTATTCGAAGATATGAAAAAAATTTGCATTTTGTTGAAGGTCAGTTGCAAATCAAGGAACAAATATTGCATATGCTTCAAAAGATATCTATAAGAAAAATTAATGAGTGATATTCAAATATGCAAAAATGTTATTCCAATATGTGAAAAAAATTGGCCTTTTGTTGAAGATCAGCCTTATATCGAGAAAAAAAAATTGTATATGATTCCAAAAGTATACATGAGAGAAATCAATGAATGATATTTGAATATGCAAAAGTGTTATTCGAATATGTGGAAGAAATTTGCATTTTATTGAAGATCGATCGCATATTGAGGAAGAAAGATTATATATGCTTTCAAAAATATCCATAATAAAAATAAATGAGTGATATTCAAATATGTAAAAATGTTATTCAAATATGTAAAAAAAATTTATATTTCATTAAATATTGGTCTCATATTGAGGAAGAAAGATTGCATATGGTTTCAAAAATATCCATAAAGAAAATTAATGAGTGATATTTGAATTTAAAAAATGTTATTTGAAAATAGAAAAAATTTGCATTTCATTGAAGATCGATCGCATATTGAGAAGGAAAGATTGCATATGCTTTTAAAAATATTCATAAAAAAAATTAACAAGTGATATTCAAATATGCAAAAGTGTTATTTGAATATGTAAAAGAAATTTACATTTCATTGAAGATCGATCGTATATTAAGGAAGAAAGATTACATATGCTTTCAAAAATATCCATAAGGAAAATTAATGAGTGATATAAAAATTTACAAAAATGTTATTCAAATAAATGAAAGTTTTTTTACATATAATTGAAGTTCAAATGCATATAGTGGAAGAAATGCTACATATGACTGAAGATTCTAGCTTCTAGTATTCAAAAATGCTGCTAAGTCAAAAATCTTTAAAATGTCAAAAGATGTTGTTTGAATAAATGAAAGTTTTATTGTATATAATGGAATTTCAAATGCATATAGTAAAAAAATCGCTACATATGATTGAAAACCTTGCATTGGGCTTTCTTTGACATACTAACACCACAATATTAAAAATCAGACCAGTCATTAAACTTGTCAAGCCAACAAGTTATAGGTTAGTGATTCAATCAAAATTGAACTGGGAGTCAACTCGGAGGACAAATTGGTTATGATCAAAATAATACAATTTAAATAAAAAGACATTAATCATGAAAACATTCAATCAAATCCAAGATTAATATCTAATATAAGATACAAATACAATAACAATTATAGAATTACAACCATCCAAAAATCTAACAATAATAAAATACAACTTTCTAAATATTCATTCTTATAATTACAATTTACAATCTTTCAATAATTAAAAAGTCTAAAATTAATAATCACTAACACTAAAATTATCAACAATGACAATCATAATTCATAAATGCTAAGCAATAATTAAACAAATGAACAATAGTAAATAATGAAATATTAAAACAATTAAGGCCTTCTATTCGAAGTTTGAACTTACAATTAAGGCCCTCTCTTTGAAGTTCGAACCATCAATAGTGAAATTTGGTTTAACTGCCTTGCCCTTCATTGCTTGGCTTTTTTTTATTTTCAAACTAAATTTTTAATTTTTATTTAGTTTTTATAATTTTTTAAAAAATTAACTCGATTGACCCAACAACTTGGCCGTGTTATCCCGGGTTGACCTCAGGTCACATTGGGTTAATGGCCGTTCGATTTAGGTGAAAACCTAGATCGGAAAAGAGATTGGGTCACTGGTTCTTGGGCTGAATTGGCCGATCAAGTTTGAATTTTAATATAATGACTGACACTGAAGAACCTTGTGTTAAAAGTTGATATGAAATTATTGGTAGTGAAGGACTTTGCATGAAATATTAACAATAAAGGATCTTGTTTCACTTTTTTTTTTTTTAAGAAGGGCACTTATACTCTCTCTGTCCCAAATTATAAGAGACTTTTAGGAAAAATTCAGCGTTTCAAAATATAAGACATTTTGATAAAAATATGATTTTATTAATAATGCTTTTCTAATATTACCCTTGCTTTTCTAATATTACCCTTATCATATATTTTCTTTTTTCAATTTTTTTTGTCAATGAAGTATTAAATGAAGAGTATTTTTAAAAGTTTATATTTTTGTCTTGAAAAAATAAGGTTGTAAAGTATATTTAATGAATTTCATTAATATATAAAATTTTATTTAAAAATATTTTATAATTTAAGATGGAGAGAGTATCATTTAGCTCTCAACAATTAATGTTAGTAAATGACTTCTTTTTTCAAAAGTTTTTAACTTCTTTTTAGCAATTTGGTGGTGAAGTTTTATGGTTATTTTTCCTAAAAAAAAATAAATATGATATGTTAGATGTGCAATTTAACTGCCGCGGAGAATGGGGAAACGGGAAACCACAATGTTGGCATATTCGTGCAGTATAAAATTAAAATGGCATCTTTGTCTGAAAATCCCATTTTCCGTAAATGGATGATCCACCTGAGGATCTTTCCGTAACTTTGCTTCACCAAACCCAAACTCAACTTTATCTCCGAAGTAGAAGATCTGACCCGTCCAGTTTTCTCTATAGAAGGACGAGCGATCACGATTTCATGTTTGACTGACGTACAATGAGGCCGGAATGATTAATCGTGATTGAAGTTTGACCATAGAAAATTGAAGCCCGAATTAAAATATTTCCTTTTTTGAAAAAACAACAAAAGGCCACCTGGAAGCTCTCCCCCGAGAAGAAGAGAGAGAAACAGGGAGGTCATAAGATTGTGTGCTTGGCTCCATTTTCTATCCCATTTTCTGTTTTGATAGCTGGGAACTGGGGACGGTGGAAGGGAGAGAAAATTGAATTTCTCTCTCTTCTGTGCGTTTAGTTTTTGAATTTTCCCGGTACACGGTTTGAGGGATTCATTAGGGTTTGGGCTGGGTCGTATTGTGTCGTTGGTGGAATCCGAAACCATGAATATGATGCGACGGCTGAAGAGCATTGCTTCTGGGCGAACTTCCATTTCGTCAGATCCTGTAAGACAGACAATTTTCCTTGAATGTTTATATTTTTTATCATTGTAAGGGAGCTCCGTGCTTGTCTGGTTGCTGGAAAAAGGAAGAAACTAGATGCGGAAGGAACGAATATATTTCCGATCTGGATTGAAATGAATTTTTGAATGTTGTGGGAGTTTGTCTATTATGCCAACCCAGAGGAAACTTGTTACAGGGATGAGTTTTTTATTTTATTTAATGTTTTGTTTTTGTTTTTTTTAACAAATAATCTTGTCTAGAAGATTTCAAATTTGCTGATTAATGTCCTTGAGTTGTTGCGCATGAAATTCAATTGCTTATATCATTTTCGTACCTTGGATCTTTTTTTTTTTAATTTAACCTTTCATCGTTTTTGGCGCATGTGATCGCCTTTTTTAAAAGGAGCTGTTCTGTTCATCAGGTTTTGTGTTACGCCCGTGGTTTTAACCTGATTATAGTGTTTACAGTGTTTTTAAGAAGGAAAGAAAAGTGCAGTCAGCCATATCATGTTTCAATTCCTTGGTGGTATTCCATATTTGTTTGGATTCTTGTTTATTTCACTTCTAATGGAATTATTTGAATATTTGTCATTTCTGGTGTTCTGTTTATGGAAAAGACATGATAGAGCTATAACCTTCTATAAGAGGGGATTGTTGGATTTAATTCTTTCTTTCCTTACTGGAGTAATTATTGATCACGTGTTCAAGCTTTGGCTGCTGTCTACCCGACTTGCTACATAATGCATCTTTGTCTTCTGAGCCTGTTGATTAACCAGATATGGCTTGGCTTAGCTTCACTTACAAAATGCCTTGCGTTGTTCTAAGTAATCAAGGCGCCTAAAGTTAGGTTATGTTGTTTGGTGGTGCACAGTTTGCACCCTTTGGTGAGCAAATCGTGTTTTTAGTTATAGGCAATTGTATTTGTCATTACATAATTTAGGCATGGTAAGAACTAAATGAATTAAAATTGGCTAAGTAATGAGGTTAGTGGAATTTATTATACATCGTTACTTTTTTTTATCTCTATTTAATACGACTAATGTTTCTTACTTTTTTATGTTAAATTCCTGTTTCCACATAGGGAGGGGATTCTAATACCAAGAGAGCTAAGTTTGATCAAGAAACTGAAGGAAGAGTCAATGAGGAAACAAATCCTGTTGAGAGAGGCAGCACACACGTTGAGCAGCATGGTTGTGCGCCAGGAGATACTACTGTAGGATCATCCAATGTATCTTTGGTGGATAGAACAGAGAAATCAGGTTATGACCAGCTTCCTAAAGAATTGAATGAAATGAAAATTAGAGATGAGAAGGGCAACAACCGCAATGAAAAGGTATTTATTGCTATTCATTTTCCCATATTTTTTCACTTTGAATGTATATGTTTAATCTTTACTTTTTTACCTTATTAATCATTAATGTAAAAGATGTTCCAAATAATTTGTATTTATTTTAATTTTAGCAGCTTTAATTAAAATACCCTTATATTTTAGACAAGTTTAATTTGTTGTTTAGTTGTATGAACCTGAATGGTCTTTGCTCAATGCAATTAGTTTTTGTGTTTGGCAATAATTTTGCTCTATGCAGGATATGGAGCCAAGTATTGTCAATGGCAATGGAACTGAAACAGGGCAGGTAATTACTACAGCAATTGGTGGTCGTGATGGACAACCAAAGCAGGTATTTTCTCATTACACGAATGTTTCATTGGTTTGATTAGTTGAACTTTTCTTCCCTGCTTCTGGAGTCTTATTTTGATGCATTAATTTTTAACTTCCTTTTTTGAGTTTGCTTGAACTTTTGAGTGTTTGTAGCGAAGTAGCACAAGTTGACATTAGAAATGATCAGTGCCTGATGGGGTACAGAAATTAGATGAAATAGGGACTCGCAACAAAAATTAGATGTTTTACTAATTTATTCTTTGTGTGGCTTTCAGACCATATCATACATGGCAGAACGTGTGGTTGGTACTGGTTCCTTTGGTGTTGTTTTCCAGGTAATTATATGAAAATTTTCATGTATTTCTACGATCAAGTTGTATGACATTGAAGTATTGATATTTTGCTCTATTATATGTGCTTGTCTGTATAGCAATTTGTTTAACAGAAAACATCTTTTTTGTAGGCTAGGTGCCTTGAAACTGGTGAAACGGTTGCCATAAAGAAGGTTTTGCAAGACAAGAGATACAAGAACAGGGAACTACAGGTTATGCGCATACTTGACCATCCCAATGTTATTCAACTAAAGCACTGTTTCTTTTCAACCACTGAAAAAGATGAGTTGTACCTGAACCTGGTTTTGGAGTATGTACCAGAAACCGTCTACAGAGTTTCAAAGCACTATATCAGAATGCATCAACATATGCCTATTATTTATATACAACTGTATACATACCAGGTAAGTCTAGAAACTGGGAGATTATTTGTACTCTTGGGTGGGTTTGAGTTTCCATGATTATCCATGCTAGAATTGTAGTTATTATCCTATATTTATTTACTTCTGTTCTTATATTGACTGGTTTGCCACTTCTTTCTTGTAGATATGCCGTGCATTAAACTATCTACATCATGTACTTGGCGTCTGCCACCGTGACATCAAACCACAGAATTTATTGGTAAGATTTTATGCATTCATTTTGGTAAGATTTTATGCATTCATTTCCTACTATGGTTTCCCAGTATTTGCACCAGGATTTTGTTCCATGCAAATTCCTGAAATGAGTATTATGGATCTGGTTATTTAAGACGTTTCCTTTGATCAGAGCTTCTCTGAAATTTATGAGATTCTTAATGAATTTATTTGATGATTTCCATGGTATTGAGCCTAGAAGAAGGGCATCAGACAAAATGATATTATATTTCCGTATTGTTGTTTCTGAAAAATGCGTTGTATGAGTAGATTCTTATGTTTGTTGTGATGTTAATTGCGATTTTTTGATATAGATTATTTTAACACGTTATATCCCTGGAAAGTCATTTCTTTGACGTCAAAGCATATTAAATTGACTTGTGATCTTATACAGGTTAATCCTCATTCTCATCAGCTAAAGATATGTGATTTTGGGAGTGCAAAGATGCTGGTATGTTTCTTTTTGTTAAAATTCATTAGTCTTTTACTAGTCCATTCTTAAAGCTTGTTAAATTGAACTTCTAGGTGCCTGGTGAACCCAACATATCATATATATGTTCACGTTATTATAGAGCACCTGAACTCATATTTGGGGCAACTGAATACACAAATGCTATTGATATGTGGTCTGTTGGTTGTGTTTTGGCTGAGCTCCTTCTTGGACAGGTGAGCATATGCAACACTGTATGTAAATTGTCTTCCATTGTTGGTTTTCAATGCATGCAAAATCTTGGCCACGGTGCTTGCTGCGTGAAGTAGATATAATAGATTTATTGTGGAAGTAATTTTTTGTCATTTTGGCCATTTCTAGCTCAACACGATTTAGGCCTTAAGATTAGAAGTCACAATCTGACGTCCTGTCTGTGTAATATTATTTGCAGCCTATGTTCCCTGGGGAGAGTGGAGTTGATCAGTTGGTGGAAATCATTAAGGTACAGTCATGTTCTATAGTTTCCTTCTCGTCTTTTCTCATACAAGCATTTTCTTGTTGTAAGCTTTTTATTCTATCGGCTTTTGTGACTCAGTCAATGTTATATTATGTGCTATAGATATTGGGGACACCAACCAGGGAAGAAATAAAGTGCATGAATCCAAATTACTCTGAATTTAAGTTTCCTCAGATTAAAGCACACCCATGGCACAAGGTTAGTTGTTCTTCACAATGCCAACCCCACCAAAAGCAGCATTCAGTTCATGATTAACGGATGTGTCAGATAACTCACTGAATTGGTAACTTCCAGGTTTTCCACAAGAGAATGCCTTCAGAAGCGGTTGATCTTGTATCAAGGCTGCTCCAGTATTCACCAAATCTGCGGTGCACTGCTGTAAGGAAGTTAATTCGCTGTTGGGGAAAAAATTCAATATTCATACATGTCTGAAATTTATGTAACATCAATGTTCTACGCAACCACATAGTTTTAAGTTTTGGAAGGAAAATAGTAAGTTCTGTTTGGTTAGTCTGATCTCAGTTATTTCTCATTTACAGTTGGAAGCATGTGCACACCCCTTTTTCAATGATCTGAGAGACCCAAATGTGTGCTTGCCGAATGGGCGGCCGCTGCCTCCTTTGTTTGACTTTACAGCACAAGGTAAACGGATTATTTCCCCCTCTTTGAGCAAGCCCTATAATCTTGGTTTCCGAATTTGTTAATATACAAATCTTTAGTTCATCTGGCATTCCTTGTTCATTTGTCAAAAGAACTCATTTGTAACAAATTGGTTATTTTCAAGGATTAAAGTCATGTACTTACTCGTAAAAGTCGGGGAAATTTTTTTGCTAACTCCTGTGTTAAATGTTGGTTTTGTTGCTTGTGCTCACTTGAAAAAACAATGCAGAGTTGGCTGGTGCACCTGCTGAGTTGCGTCATCGACTCATTCCCGAACACGCAAGGAGTTGATTTGATTATCAAGAATCATGAATACAAAAGTAGGGAAGAGTGTAAATGGGTTTTTGGATGAATAGATATACCCATAGCAATAAATGCTCTACTGCTTCCTGCCATAGTAGGTCAGATCTCTGTTGTCCTGCCTGCAGAATCGCATGACTGCACATCTCATACAAGGAACCTTAACAACTTGCAAGCACTGTTCAAGGACCATGTAAAGACCTCCGGTGGGGAGAAACTGAGGAGGATTAAGTGGGGACTGCTGTCTGGATATAGGGTTTCCAGCTTTTAACTTCCTAGTGTAGTTTATGAATATGATGTATGCTATGCTATGCTGCAATTCTGAAAGATGATGAGTTCTTGAAATATTGTGATATGTTTAATTAGTTCATGGATTGTTCCTGAAACTGGACTATAACTGTGATCGTAGCATTGTTATCTTTTCCTTTTTGGGTTTGGATTTACAGGCTACTGAAAAGTGAAAATTGGACTCATTATTGCACCGGTGGGGACAATGATCTAAGAATTAGTGGTTTACTAGGATCAAGCTGGTCAGGATTAAAATAGTATCTTTTAAAAAATAAAAAAAATCATTAATAAAAATATTAATCCTTCACTATGTAAATAACCTGTATAATATTTATTAAAGTATATGCACTGCTTATTTATTTATGATTTTATGTTAATGTTTTAAATAAAAAATATAGATAGCATGAAAAATTAAATGAAATCAATTTTTAAATGGGGAATAACTGTACATTTAAAGAATCAGAATGTCAAAAAAATAAGACGTTTAGAATAATCTTTTAAAAGATAATGAAATGATATTTTAAAAGTTAGGGTAAAATGACATTAAGTGCTTGTTTGGTTAGCTAAAATAATCTATTATTTTACTGTTAAAATTGATTAACTAAAAACATAGCCAAACACATAAAAATCATGTAATTGATTTTATTGGTTAAAATTAATTTTTTTCAGAAGCTGGCAATTGGGGTGGGTAATCCATCAAGAAGCGTTGGAGAAAATTACAAATAAAGACCCAGGAAAAAATTATAAAAAAGCCTAAAATTTAATAAAATAAAACCAATAATGCATTTTACTTCTTAAATAAAATGTAACAACTTTAATAATATTAGGTATAAATTTATCAATAATTTAATTTTGAAATGCAATGTCCTTTATGATAATTTATACAACTAAAATTGATTTTAAATAAATTATTCAAATATCTTTAATTTTGTTAAAATCAATTTTAAAAAAATGATATCCAAACAGATTACATTATAATATAATAATTATGATTGAAATTTATCACTTAATTAATTATTTTTATGATCTATTATATCCAACTGAAATTTAAAAGGACCCTAAAGCTGAAATTATCATCCAAGTTGAAATTCAAAATTTGAAATATTGAAAACGTAATTTTCATTGAAAAGCGCTTTACAAAGGCACCCTATGTGTCATAGGCTTGGGTCTCTTCTGCTGTACTACTTTGGAGCAATTTCCTTCCTCCCCCATCTTGTTCCCTCCTCTGAGGGAATCGACACTGTCACTTTCCTCACAAAAAAAAAAAAAACAGTGGAAATAAAATGTTTTAGAATTTGAAAGATTTAGATTTAATATTTAATTTTTTTCGTTTTATATTTATTAAAATAAAAATTTACTATTTAAATATCTTCTAAACAGCGTAAATTTAATATTAAAAATTTTTATGTTAAATTTAAATTATTTATATTAAATCTAGATAGCTCAAATAAGTGATAAAATTTTTATTTTTGTAAATTGGCTATATAAATACATTTTAATAAGTGAATATTTGATGTAAAGTTCTTTTTATAATTTATATAATTTTTTAACATTAAATTTAGATATTATATATTAAATTTACATTGTCATCCTTAGATTTATTAAAAAAATTATAAAGTTTTATTTTAATAAATATAAAATAATAAAATCAAACATTAAATTTAAATCGTTTACATTAAATCTAAACAACTTAAATTTTGACAGCCTTTACTCCTTATTTGGTTGGGGGGAGAGGTGGAATCTTCATTTTCTTTATTTGGATGAGACAAGGAGGGGATCTGTTTGGTAAAGAAGAGGCCCCTCCGAACTCGGATTCCTGAGATCCTCCCCTCCTCCTTTCAGTTCATCTCCCTTTTTCTTTCTTTAAAATCTATCTTCTAAAGGTGAAGAGAGGAAGTATAATGGAGGATTTCTTCAGAGGAGTGAATCCGACCCGTCTTGTTCACTTTTTGCCATTTTTTCTTCGTCCTCAACCGTTCCGGTTTCTTTTTTTTTTTTTTTGGCCCCTCATAACATATGACGACCAATCGACCATTGCTAGGAAAGATTTCAAATTTCGCGCTGCAGGCTCCATTTTTACCCCTCCCACTTTCGTTCAGCTACAGTGGCTGCCAACCCAACATTCGTGCAGATTCTCACCGTCCACCACTCCTCCTCACCCACCGTCGGCGAGCTTCTCATCATTTTCTTCAACCTTGTTAGCTCTAAGCTTCACCCCCAACTTCCAGTATCGACTCTCTGCATCCTCTCCTTTCTCTTCCTCCTTTTTCTCTCTTCCTCACCATGACACCATCAGACTCCTCGGAACCCAAGCTTCCCGAGTCGGAATCCGAACTGAAATCGGAATATTCATCGCTTCCATAACGACTCCGTGATTATCTTTCTCGTATCGCCCTTCATGTCCACGCCAAACATATTTGGAAGATCCATCTCCTACAAAATCATTTCCACAAATCAAGCGTGCTCTCACTGTTATATTTGCCTCTATGTTAGTTCTTAACTTCACCAACGCTTGTGTAGGACTGTAGGGTATGCTCATCAGCTCATGTGTCGTTGATCCCCAGCCTGGATGGTTATCTTTCTCGCATCTGCTATGATTTTCTGAATTTCTATGGACCTGATTAGGATTTCATTTGAATTACGACATTTTATTTGCTTTCTACACGTTCTGTGTACCTGTTGAGATGGATATCGTGCTTTGAGGTGATTACACAGAAAAATCTCAAAACACACTCCTCTATTTTTGATACCATTAGAATTATGTTGGGTTTTATTACTAAGTTGCTTTGGAGTAACGTTATATATTTGTCTTTTTGTTTGGGTTTTTTGATGTCTTGTGGAAATACCCAATGATAAAACATGTTTTAAAAGATTTATTTGATTCCATTAACAAATTATGGTGTGCTCTTTTAAATAATATTTAAAAAATATTTTTAAAATTATCTATCAAGAGAGGGAGAAAGTAACATTAACATCACTTTTAAATTTGTTATATATGAACATATTTAAAATTTTATATACTTTTATTTCATTTACCTTTTTGTATTGGTATTGATGAAATTAATAAAAGTGATTTATAAAAAAGACTGAATGAATATAGAGAAAATCATAAAACATTAGTCATATAAGTAAATATATCTTATTTAAGTGTGAGTTACTTTTTGGGAGAAAAGAATTTATTATTATTTAAACTAAAATAATTGTGGATATTTATAATACTAGAATTTTAATGAATAAAAAATTGGTACAAGGAAAGTTGTATTTGCTTGTTTTATTTTAATTATTTTTAGAAGAAAAATAGTTATTATTTAAACTAAAATAGTCATAAATATTTATAATATTTGAACATTAGTTAATAAAAAATTTATACATAAAAGCTATAATTGATTGTTTTACTTTAGATATTGCAAAAAAAAAAAATTATTACTTAAACTAAAGTAGTCATTGATATCTACATTTTTAGATCAAAGTTGTTACTTTTTTTTATTTTACATTAGGGATATTTTAGTTAGTTCATCAATAATCATTAATGTTAGAAAAGTCTTTAAAAATTTAAAAAAAAATTATGGCATTTCATAGAACTTTATTATTATTTGTATAATTCAAAGGAATTTTTCTATCATTTTTACCTTACATTTTTTAAGCCAAAAAAGGGTGTGAATTACTTTTATAAAATGCAAATGAAAAACTTTGTTAACTAATAACCATAAGCAAAAGGGAAAATTATTGTTGGTATCTATAAAAGTAAATGGGAAAGTTAATAGTTTGTTTCAATTTTTAATTAGACCTCTATAATTTTATTTGTTAGAATTGGCCTTTATATTTTTTCAAGTTAAGCTTGTTAATCCTTCTATCATTAACTCCGCTTAAATTCACTAACGCCGTTCAATCATGACATGGTGAAGGATGATTTTGACTAAAATTGGTGTCAATATCATTTTTGTCAACTGTGTGTGTAACTGACTAACTGTGAGTTTGCGACAGAGGTCACAGGGCGATTAAGGCTTGTGATTGAGGAAGAAGATGACTTCGTGAGCTGACGATTGGGAAGAGTTTGTCTTTAACTCTCAAAATAGCACTAAACTTCACACTATATAGGTAATGGTTAATTTAGGTTTATTTTCTTGAGGAGGCTTACTATGATTAATTAAAATTAACCAATGTGAATTAAACTACTCAAAGGATTGATTGTTTTTTTTTTAATTTTTTGAAAATTAAAAAAGCTTTAAAACTAGATTAAAGTATTTTTGGTGGTTTTTTTATGAAATGGTAGAATCTTAGAGTTGGAGTAGTGAGTAAGTTATTTGCTTAGAAATTAATTAAGTTGGTTTTAAATTACTTTACCCTCTTGGCCTGTAATGAAGAAAACTAAAAAAATTATCTCTAGTCTCTTAACCTTCCGACCAACCTCCTTAAGTTCTAGATTAAGGTCCTTAGTTTAATTAATTAAGCTAGTTTTAAACATTGACCAAGTGTGATGTAAATTATACATAAGTGATTCAGCCCTTCCTAAAAGGCATATAAACTCCTAAGATTATGGTAAGAAAATAAGAAATTAAGCATCAACTACTCAAGATTATGACATAGAAAATGCAAGATAAGACACTAATGAAAATCTCAATATTATGATAACATCCACTTATGTAAGGAAGTAGCAAACACAAAATCATAATCAAATCACCAAATTCTCAACAATACACAAATGAATCAAGATTATGGCTAAAATACATGATGAAATAATCCAAAATTATGACCTTACAACATTAAGACATTGAAGAAAATTAGGGTAGAGTAATTAAAAACTAAAAAGATGTTAAGTGTTCGGCCTCATCCTTTTCTTGCTCCTCTAATATTCACAAGCCCCTTAGCCTTCAAACTCTATGGAGGACCTTTTCTTCATGCCTTGACTAAATTGAAACTCACCTACCATTGAAGATGAAAACCTTGGATGGATGAATGGAAAGAGACTAGGGTTGTGTGTGTGTGTGTATTTTAGTGTAATGTAGGTGATAAATGAAATTTGTGAAGAGAGATGGAAGAGAAGAGATGAGAGAATGAGAGAAATGAGTGGATGAGTGAACAGAATGGGATCTTAGAT